GCCAACACTATATTAAAGTGCCTGGTTTTGGAATGGGATGTCCAACAAGCTCATATAGGCGTGATGGTCGGGTGTCCATATACTTTTGGCCATATAGTGTATGTGACTGTATTGAAAACTCTGACCGTTGCACTGCAATAGTACAGGGTCTAGGACATGAGCAAGCTTTCCAATGCTGGAGCAACATGATGGAAGAGCAGTTCCGGTTCAATCTACTTCACCAGAGGTATCCGTGGTGATCAGGCTGAACCTGCGAAAACTCTTCCCGCGTCACTACATAGGTAGCGTGTTACCATAAACTCTTTTGCTACACTGCTTATGTTTTGGGGATTTGGAGACCTCTCTAGTGGAAATGTGTAATAACTTGGTGTGAAAGATCTACTACTGTCATCATTTGAGACCTAGACATCGAGCTGGACCTTCTTTTTGAGCCTGTGCGCACGACATTAACATATATGAAGTGGGCCGAAAACCACTTACTGATGGGATTGTGCAGGTGCCCACTGGCATCTGTTGAGTCGTCAGAGTCTGAGGTTTTTCAGCTCTATTCTAAGTACAGTGAAACACATTTGAAATCATTGTCTGCGGCATTTAACCAAGCTTTACAGATACAGCAGATAGAGGTTAGGTTGTAAAATGCTGAGTGTTCCTTCAACATACTTAACGTCATTCAAACCCCGGCCTTCTAACTCAAACTGCAGTGCTAGAAGGCCCGAGCACAGCGTAATGTTTTCTCTATGACCATCTAGGACTGGAGTTTTCCATCAGTGCTATAACGAGTCCAGCCGGGGAAACATTCAGACGTTGTCATCAAAGCTGTGTAACTTAAATACAGTGTCATGTGATGACGGATCTACTTTACTAGTTCATACTGGCACATGGTTTCCATATAGTCACATTTACAGGGTTTTTTATTCATAAATATTCTTAGAGGGTCAAGTATTCATTTGTAATTTAAGACTTTTAACTTAATTATCTGAAATGGATGACTAAAGCACCCTTGTTGGAAGATATTCATCCATGACATCACTGGAGATGTGTGTTTGTGTGTTTGTTCTTCTTCACAATGACGACGTTGTAGAGTCCACTACCTCTCGTCCGTTGCACACGGTAGGAACGACGGTCGCAGAGGAAGCTGTGGGTTAAATTTTTTGGTGGTCAGATCAACAATGTCAACAATGACTCGCACAAATAATCAGAATTCATATATTTATGGAAGCCCATTTGCGCCAGATAGAGGAGAAAACAATTGCTCATGTTTTTATTTCTGTTTCTGGCAGCAGTTTGTCAAAATTTTGACTCTGCATTTTAAAATAATGACTTCATTTTTTAAAACAATGGAATATCTACATATATTTCCAAAATATTGATTTAGTATGTCAAAAAAAAAAATTGTATCTCATAACAATGACTTTCTTAAAATTTATTAACTCGTTATTTGACATAGTATCTCAAAATCTCAAGAAAAGTCATTTTTTCAAGATATTGTCATTATTCTGAGATACTGAGAAAATAAGTCTTTAATTTGAGATACTAAGTCATTTCAAGATACCAAGTCAATGAGTGTGTTCACATGCACTTAATAATCCGATAACTGCAAAAAATCAGATTTTGTCAGTAATCTGATCAGCGCGTTTACATGCATTTGAGTAATCAGATAATAGGAAACTCCACGTTTACATGAGTCAGACAGTAATCAGATTTCTGCTTTGCAACCAGCCAATAAACTCACAGAAGAAGACGCGTCGTAAACGTAACGTAAAACTCAAACTTCATGTTGCGGCTTTTTTTTTTAAAACATCGCACCACTTTACCTGAAAATACATCATACATCGTCTAGAAGATGAAGAATATTTAAGTCCTTCATTTTGTCAAGCATGTATTTGGTTTCAGCTTCGCTCCAAAAGTGTTTTGCTGCATCTTGCAGCGACGCCGCTCTCAGTCGCACATGTGCAGACTGAGAAATCCAAAAGAAAGTAAGTTTACATGCACTGAGAAATCTGATTACTGAACTAAAATCCAGCTCTCTCTATTGGATTTCTTGATCAGATTTCTAGACCTTACTCTGATCTAAGAAATTGGAGCATGCTGCTTACATGACCATTTCAATAATCGGATAACTGCAGAAATCCGATTATGACTGCTTGTAAACACACTTAATATTTCAAGAGAAGATGTGGTTTTGAGATACCAAGTCAATATTTTGAGGAAATAAGTCATTGTTTTAAGAAGCTAAGTAAATAGAGAAATAAGTTGAAATAAGTAGTATAAGTTTTTCAAAATACTAAGTCAATATTTCAAGAAAATGAATTATTTTGGGATAATAAGACAATATTTACAGAAATTAAGCCATTATTTAAAGATACGTGGTCAATATTTTGACATACTGCTGCCATAAACAGCCTGGTGGAAGTGGGTTTCCATACATATTTACTGACTATATTATGTAACTATCAAGATAAATATTAACATTAATCAGTAGGTACAGTACAACTGGGGTAAGTTGTTGCTTGTAGTCTACAAAGCTTATCATATGAATTTTACTGTCTGGAAATTGTTGGCGTATTGTATCTTTAAATAGTTTGGCTAAATATCAAATTTACCCAGCTTTCCTCTTACCAAATGTAGTCATTCAGCTAAGACATGTTTGGTGTCAAAGGTTTGCTTCTTTAATTTTGCGCTGGAGCTAACAGGCTAATGTAGCTAACAACTAACGTAACCTTATAACTAGCATGATGCTAACCAAATGCTGACTATCACACACTTGCCTCAAACTGAGTGGGGTTTTAATAGACTTGCTTATGTTTTTCGACACACTGTTATTGATAAAAATGGACAAAAAGTGGTCATAGCATAGCTAAAGTAAACAGTAGCAGCAGCCATGTTGAAGCCTGGATAGGTTACAGTGTCAAACATATGAGCAAGTCTATTTCTGATTATTTAACAACTCCATATTGTTTAAGGCGAGGATAATGATTTAAACCATGGTCACACCACTGTCACCTCGTCATTTTCTTTGCTATGGTGAATTAAAAGTCAGGTGGTCCTGATCTGAAGTGATTTTGGAGGGAATGTATTGGTTGGTAAACAACTTACTGGCTAGTTAACTAGATTCTTTTGCAGTTGTGAGTGACAAGCGACATAATGTTTCCTCTGTGTAGATTTTTTTAGAAAGAAAACTACTGGAAACAAATTCCTTTTTAGTGTTTCCACATCCTCATTTTTACTTTCTCATTCAGGTGAATTGGCTTTTTGGTCAGGCAAATTTTAATTGCAATAAGTGACTGCAGCTTTCAGCATGCAGTTTGCTCAATTCAATAAGTTTCTTTATTTCCCAGAGAGCAAGCTTATATCAATCTGCTGGCTTGATAAGGTCAGCACTCTGCTGACTGTTTGCCACTGCTGGTCCACCCTCGGACCACCCAGATTATTGTCCTGCACACAAGGTCTAACTTTTTTAATCTCCTCAAACAGATTTTAAATGCACATCGCCTTTTATTTTGGAAAATTAACTAAGACAAATATTACAAACAATTGAGTGTGTTTACATGCACTTAATAATCCGATAACTGCAGAAAATCATATTTTGTCAGTAATCCGATCAACGTGTTTATATGCATTTGAGTTATCAGTTAATGGGGAAACTCCAGGTCTACATGAGTCAGACAGTTATTGGATTTCTGCTTTGGATTTCAGTCAATAAACTCACAGAAAAAGATGTGACGTAAACGTAATGTAAAACTCAAACTTCATGCCGTGGCTAAACATTGCGCCACTTCACCTGAAAAAATGAACATACATCATCTGGAGGATGAAGAATATTGAAATCCTTCATTTTGATGAGAATGTATTTGTTTTCAGTGTCACTCCAAAAGTGTTTTGTTGCATCTCGCAGCAACACTGCTTGCTTATTTCTGGTACAGCACTCTGTTTTCACACATGCGGAGACTGAGAAATTTGAAAGAAATCAGAGTAAGAGTTCACATGCACTGATAAATCTGATTACTGAGTTAAATCCAGCTCTCTTTATCGGATTTCTTAATCAGAATTTCTAGATCGGAGTATAGTGTTTACATGACCATTTGAATAATCAGATAACTGCAGAAATCTGATTATGATCGGATTATTGAGTGCATGTAAATGCACTTATTGAGAGAAAATATTAATAGGCCTAATATAAAATGATGATGTTGCTGACACTGTGCTAGATTGGTTACAGCTGTATAACCGGCAGTATTTATGATGTTGCTGTTAAAATGATTTATTAAGTTAATTTACAAAGGATAACCAAAGAAAGAAATGAAGGAAAATTAAGTCGATAGGACTGTCTGTGGAAAATGAGTGATTAAAAGTGGTATTTTATCTAATACTCTGCTTAACCACCAATGGGCCACTCGGAAAACCCTGAGCAAAAGCCAGTGGGCCTCCAGCTTTGCTGTCATCGGGCCAACAGTGGCCTGCTGTCTGGGTTAAGAGCGACATTAGCCTCGTAGCTCCTGTGCAAAACTACAGAGGCAAACCTCAGACACCAAACATGGCTTGGCTGATCAACTACGGTTGAGGTAAGTGGGAAAGTGTGTATGTATGCATGTGAGTGTTTGTGCTTCCTTACAGTTGTTCTTCACTTTAAAGTTGCAGCATGTATCCTGGAAAAGAGGTTAGCTACCCTGTGAGTAGGTGGAGCTGGGGGCTGTGATGGCCGTGGAGAAGCGGTTGTCCTTCGCCCTCAGGGTGGTCACGTTCTTCTGTGGCTGGAACAGAATGATGTGGATTTTGGGAGCGAAGAGACAGCCCAGCACCACCGATCCGCTCAGGCTGACCGAGATGCACATGGTGGTGGTCTGAACCTGTAGAAGGAGACACGGTTTAGAACGTTTCCAAACAGACCCGATGCTGAAAACTGCCATGAGAAACAACATAAAACCTGAAATTATAGGGAGTTTACTGTTTGAGTGAAATCTCACAACATCAGGATTTGGTTGTGATTCTTTAGGAAATGATTCAGTGCATCATTGAATCTCAAATTGCACTATGATTTGATTAGATTAAATTATTTTAGTATTATTATTAAAAAAAAAAACACTGAGGTCACACTGGAGTGTGACTGGAACAGAGCAGCAGAATTCAGACAAAAGCAGTACAGCAAGCTTTTTTAATGTTACATTTGAAAATGCACAAGAATTTTGTTTCGGTCAAAAAATGAGCATATTTTATTGAATATTATTTTTCTCATAGTCATTATAATGACTCATTATAATCAGTTATAACATTCCAAAATGGACTCCCCACCTTCAGAACGATGCATCAGTGCTTTCCCTTCTACTGTTTACCAAGTGATTTTTCAGCATCTACTTGTCTGTTTTTTTCTGTTTTTCGGAGTAATAACTCTACTGAATGACTCATCAGCAACCGCTGTGAGCTGATGACTAAACCACACCTGCACCACGGCCTCATTCTTGGTGTGAGATGCCTTGAGTTCCACAAGGATGTCTGTTCACTGACATTTTATTGTTGCACTGAGTTGTGGCTTCTGATTGGTTTGGCTTGCCTGTCATTGTCCACATGCACTTGAGCCCCTGTCTCTGAGCCCCCAAGTCCCTGCCTTGTTTTTTTTCAATTGCACTTTGTGCGACTCTATTAGTTATAATAATCTTGGCAAAGTTGTCCAGATGACAAAACTCTAAACACCATTTAGTTTGATTTTTGTCGCAGGGACAAAAAGATGCTCATTGTTGTGTCACTGGTCAGTGATGGGGGCGTTGACAGCTCAGTTCAATTTTCATGCGTATGTTATGTATTGTGTTATTTTCATGTCACTACCGAAATACAGAGAGTTTAGTCCATAGGCGGAGTCTTATTTTAACAGGAAGTGAGACTGCATCCCTGTCCCTCATGACCACATGGTGAGCAGTTAGCTCTCACTGTTTGGAAGTGAATGTGTCCCAAAGTCTGAAAATCAGTGTGGGACATTAAAAATTGTCACAACCGAAACATTTTCTGCAATTAAGTTTTAACTAATGTTTTTTTCTTGTGTTTTAATGAAAAATATTATGATTTTATGTGTGTATAAGTGTTCAATGCTGAAACAGTCATTACTGAAACATTTGGTAGTTTCAGTAGCGTTAATTGAAGATTGTCTTGTTAGTGATGAAATGGAACGTTCAACCATTTGCTTTAATTAAATAAACATAATTAAGCCATAGAGTCTCTCAAAACAAAAGGATTTTAGTCTAAAGTACAACCCCATTTCCAAAAAAGTTGGGACGCTTTGCAAAATGTAAATAAAAACAAAATTCAATTGGGTGCAGATCATTTAAACCCTATGTTTCATTGAAAATAGTACAAAGACAACATATCAAATGTCGAAACTGAGAAATTGTTTTTTGAAAATTATGTGTCCATTTTGAATTTGATGCCAACAACATGTTCCAAAAAAGTTGGGACAGGGGCCTGTTTACCACTGTGATTCATCAACTATTCTTTTAACAACACTCTGTAAGCGTTTGGGAACTGAGGAGACACTGCTGTAGTTTTGAAAGTGAAATGCTTTCCATTCTTGTTTGATACAGGATTTCAGCTGCTCAACAGTTCAGGGTCTCCTTTATCGTATTTTTTATTTCATAATGAGCCAAATGTTTTCAGTGGTGACAGGTCTGGACCGCAGGCAGGTCAGTTTAGCACCCAGACTCTTTTGATATGGACTCATGCTGTTGTAATACATGCAGAATGTGGTTTGACATTGTCTTGTTGAAATAATCGAGGCCTTCCCCGAAAAAGACGTCGTCTGGATGGCAGCATATGTTGCCAAAACATGCATATATCATTCAGCATTAATGGTGCCTTGGTCACCCATGCCACGTGCACTAATGCACCCCTACACCATCATTAATACTGGATTTTGAACTGTGTACTGATAACAAGCTGAGTGGTCTTTAGCCCGGAGGACAAAGTGTCCATGATTTCCAAAAAGAAATTCAAATGTTGATTTGTCGGACCACAGGACACTTCTCCACTTCCCCTCAGTCCATTTTAAATGAGCTCGGGCCCAGAGAAGGCGGTGGCTTTCAATTATGATGGCTGTTAGTACTGTTTATATTGCACTATGCAAAATCGTGAATAATGCTTTTGTAATTTTGTACTTTTTGCTTAATTAAGAAGTTAGATTTCTGTTGACATGGCAAAAAAAAGTCGATATTTGTTATAGACCCAATCAGAGACAGTTTTAATTTTAACATTTTTCATCGTTGTAATATCCAACAACTTTATTGAACATCACATTGTACGTCCATATCGTTAAGTCCTACCAACAAGTATGTCTCTATGTATTTAGCGGAGACTTTAAAATGTTCCCCCATCAGGTTTGTCAGTTTATTTGAAGAGCGAGACAGTGTTGCAGACCCCTTGCCCAGACCGCCAGCGGCCTTTCATTATTATTTATTTATTTCTTGTTCAGAAAAGCCTGAATGCACTTTGTTTTGGTTCTAAAGCACCAGGGCTTCTGAATGATGCGCCTCCTCCTCTTTTGTTCTGTCCATATCGTTTCAAATGCAATTCTCAAAAATGGAACCGAACAGATACCAGCATGTGACGGACAACTTTTACTTGCCAGTATCCCCTGTGCTGTCCGGCAGCAGCGGTATGCTTTTAAACGCCAGACAAAATAACAAAGCGAGGCTTGACAGGAGCACACAGGCAGATCAACAGCTTTGGGAGAGGAGAGAGAGCAAAGAGCGAGGAAAATAAGAATCTCTTTGTTCCGCTGAAGATTGCTGCACTTTGCACCCATCTGCGAGGCCAAGGGTTCACCGCGCTGCGCTGCTCTGAATCACACCGCCTGCAAGCCTGTCTTTTATGTCAGAATATATTAAAACTAATTCCGTTCCGAACTGTTTTCATACAGAGACAAAGCTCCTCGTTAGTTATGATTCTACGGTTTAAATGGGCCTGAAGGTTTTATGAATACATTTTTAGGCTGTTGTAAACATTCACTATATCCTGACAGCCCAGTCGGGGATCACTGTGGCTGGACCCTTTCTCTGTAACAACAAAGACTCTGAAAAACAACAGTGCCAGTCTGCACCCGCCACGCATACCATTATGTACGCTTATATTCAGAGATGGTATGTCAGAAGTTACTCTCATATCTGCAGAGTTAGCACTGCTCCTCCAAAGTTGTATTTAATTACTTATTATCTCACTACATTCAAGACTACACACAAAAAGTCTGTCTAATTATATTATAATAAGTGAAAAAGTTTGCATGACATCAATTGTGTTGTGCTAATTAGCGGCTAGTAGATTTTTATTCATTATTTTTTCATGCATTCATGTTTTTGGGTGAAATATTTTATCATACATAATAGGGTGATGTTCCACAGAGCTTTATGGAGCTCTGCTCATAACATACCTTCTTAATAAAATGAACAGTAGAGCATGCAAATGGGATCCTAATGCATGGCCACGACTTAGTAAGACATAGGAATGGAATAATTCATTCATAGGTGCTACTTAGACATGTAAATGAGCCACGACTTAGTAAGGTGTAAGAACAAGATAATTAAGTCATAGCCACAACTTAGTAAGGTGTAAGAACAAGACAAACTGCCATAGCCATGGCTTAGTAAGGTGTAAGAACACGATAATTAAGTCATAGCCACGACTTAATAAGGTGTTAGAACAAGATAATTAAGTCATAGCCACAGATTAGTAAGGTGTAAGTACACGATAATTGAGTCATAGCCACAACTTAGTAAGGTGTAAGGATGAGTTAATTAAGTCATGGCCATGACTTATTGAGGTGTAAGAACAAGATAATTAAGTCATAGCCATGACTTAGTAAGGTGTAAAAACAAGATAATTAAGTCATAGCCACAACTTGGTAAAGTGTAAGAACAAGATAATTAAGTCATAACCATGACTTGAAGTGTAAGAACAAGATAATTAAGTCATAGCCATGACTTGGTAAGGTGTAAGAACAAGATAATGACATCATAGCCATGACTTAGTAAAGTGTAAGAACAAGATAATGACATCATAGCCATGACTTAATAAAGTGTAAGAACAAGATAATTAAGTCATAGCCATGACTTAGGAAGGTGTAAAAGCAAGATAATTCAGTCATAGCCAGATGTTAATAAGGTGGGGAAATGAGATATTTAACTCACAGTAGGAAGCTGTGAAAACGAGATAATTAAGTTGTGATCATGAATTACTAAGGCATTGGAAAGAAGATAATTAAATCACAGCCATGACTTAGTATGGGTGGATATGCGATAATCAAGTCATGGCCAAGACTTAATTATGCCTGAAAACGAGATAATTAAGTCATGACTACAACTTAGGCTTGGGAACGAGATAACTGAGTCATAGCCAGGACTTAATAAGGCATGAAAACTAGATAACTAAATCATAGTCACAACATAGTAAGGTGTTTGAACTAGATAATTACATTGTTGCCACAAATTAATAAGGCATGAGAATGAGATAATTAAGTCATGGCCATGACTTAGTAAGGTGTGCGAACAAGATAATTAAGTCATAGCTGTAACTTAGCAAGCCGTGAAAAATGAAATAATTAAATAGTTGCCACGAATTATTGAGGCATGAGAATGAGATAATTAAATCATGACCATGACCATAAGGTAAGGTATGGTGGGATATTACCTGTGGTTGTAGTGGGCTGGTCATGACTTAATAAGTTGTGGCAGGATCCTAATGCTTGGCTACGACTTAGTAAGGCATACAAATGAGATAATGAAGTCACAGCCATGACTTAGTAAAGTGAGGGATCAAGTTAAGTCATGGCCATGATTTCTTAAGGCATATAAATGAGATAATAAAGTCAGATCCATGAGTTAGTAAGGTGTGGGAATGAGATAATTAATTTGCGGCCATGACTTAGTAAGTTGTGTGAACAAGATAATTGTCATAGCTGTAACTTCATAAGCCATGAAAAATTAGACAATCAAATAGTTGCCACAAATTATTGAGGCATGAGAATGAGATAATTAAATCACAACCATGACTTGATCACGGCCATGACTTAGTAAAGTGTGGCAAGATCCTAATCCTTGGCTATGACTTAGTAAGGCATACAAGTGAGATAATTAAGTCATTGCTACCACTTTGTAAGGCATATGAATGAGATAATTAAGTCAGATCCATGAGTTAGTAAGTTGTGGGAATGAGATAATTCATGGCCATGACTTAGTAAGGTGTATGAATGAGATAATTAAGTCACAGCCACAACTTAGTAAAGTGGGGAAACAAGATAAGTCATGGCCATGATTTCATGAGGTAAATAAATGAGATAATAAAGTCAGATCCATGAGTTAGTAAGGTGTGGGAATGAGATAATTAATTCATGGCCATGACTTAGTAACATGCATGAATGAGATAATTAAGTCACAGCCACGACTTAGTAAAGTGGGGGAACAAGATAAGTCATGGCCATGATTTCATGAGGTAAATAAATGAGATAATAAAGTCAGATCCATGAGTTAGTAAGGTGTGGGAATGAGATAATTAATTTATGGCCATGACTTAGTAACATATATGAATGAGATAATTAAGTCATAGCCATGGCTTAGTAAGCTTTAGGAACAAGACAAAACTACAGCTAAATAAGGCGCGGAAACGAGATAATTAAGCCGCGATTATTATGCTGTCGCCACGGCATAGTAAAGAATGGGAACAAGATAGTTCAGTCATTCTCATGCTTTACTAATTTGTGGCCTTGCGTTACGATCCCATTCCCATTGCCTGAGTGTATTGTGGCCATGCATATGATTAATTTTATTAAAGGGGATGTCGCCAGCAGGGTTCTGTAGATCTTCACCTTTGATGCTGTCATAGAAGACACTAATATGGAAACGTAATATGGAAACAACCACCTTTTTACACAGCTGTCTCTTTATACACAACCACTCTTCCCTGTCGATGACACAAACCCTCACTGATCTTTCAATACTGTCTCTATATGATATGATTCTGTCTTGATATTGTCACTATCTTAAACTGATCTAGGAACACTTCTCTCTATATACGAGACAATTTTCTCTTGCTACTCTCTCTGTCGCATACTGATCCGGGAACACTCCTCCCTGCTGGTGGAGTGATTGTTTCTGACAGCTGTTTGCTATGGCAGTCCAGGCATCGCCGCTCACACAGCCGCGGGGCGTTCTTGATGACTGTGTTTATCATGTAGCTAACTGAGTTCTGACATCTCGCACCTCACAGCAAAACGAGTTCGCTGATAAAGTGCGACAGGCCGCCCACAACCTCCCAGAGGGAGTCGCTAACACCCGCTACAAGCTAACGTCTCTGTGGTGTGTGTGTATTTGGCTCGCTAGATTTTTCCGGTTAAACAGCCAGGGGACTCCAGTAAAAAGCAATCTGCCATTTAATGTTCTGACCGTAATGGCAAGTTTAAGCTGTATGCATAACGATTTGAAATCATTAATTTAGCTTTATATATAAAGCCCCACCTATTAGATATATAGCAAATGGTTAATCTTAAGCCAAGCTTTAGGTGCTACTCTCATGGTTTTATCGGGAAGGATGACATAAAGACTAACTTAAAGAGGAACTCCGGCCTAAAACTGGAGTATGTTATATATTGTGTTATGCAGTACTCAGCAGTGCAGCATTGTATCAGTCAGCCTCATCTGTTGTATGGAACTCACAATTTTATATTGTTTATTGTTATTTTGTATCATTCAGCTATGAATTCCCACTACAATATCATGCGTACACTCAATATATCATAGAACCTTTGGGAATCCCTGTGGTGTAAACTAGTCGTGACTGGTAGCCACTGATCTATAAGCTAATAAATACAACCAACCATTAGTGAAACTCTCGACTGTCAATCAAAATTGTAAAGAAAACAGAAATTATTTACCACAAAATGGACATAAAAGGTTTTTACACTAACTGTGGCTTTTAGCTTGTTGTTCTCCTTATCTGATAAGCAATTTCTTTTGTAATACATTCTTTCTATTGTAATTAGGATTTGTAGACAGTTACTACTGGTGTACAGCTGGAAAAAGATGTTTGGTTTCCCAGCAGTAATGTTAGCTATTCTAGGCATGATGTCAGAGATATGAGTGTAGGGATTCGTAGGTTGTGTAATACACCACTCACCCTATAATCACTAGCAGTGACGTAGAAGATGGGCTGGAAGGCCAACCAGATGATGCAGGTGGTGTACATTGTGAATCCAATGAACTTGGCCTCGTTGAAGTTCTCGGGGCACTTCCTGGTCTTGAAGGCATAGAAGGTGCACAGGACGATGAGGATGCAGTTGTAGGTGAGTGACACCAGCATGCTGGAGTCCAGGCTGTTGCACTTCAGCGTCACAACGTCCCGTCTTTCCGGACTCACTTCCTTGCGGACGCCCGGAGCCTCAATCAGGAGCCACACCAGAGCCACCAGAAGCTGAGCAGAGATCAGGGCGCCACAGATGGCCACTTGGGAAGCGGGGCTGATGAAACGAGGCCGCTGGGCGCCATCCCGTGCCCCACCGAATATCCTCGCGATCCGATTGGTCTTGGTGAGGAGGGCGGAATAACAGACAGCAAACGAGGTACCCAGGCCGAGACGGCGAAGGGCGCAGACGACTGCCGATGGTTTGGTGATGTAGATGAAGGTCATGGCGTAGCACAGGAGGACTCCCAACAAGAGGATGTAGGACAGCTCACGTCCACTTGCCTTCACCACTGGAGTGTCATTGTGCCGCAAGAACACCCCAGCAACCGCCATGGTGCATAGCATCCCAAGGCAGGCGATGGTCACGGGCCCTACAGCCCATGCATCTGACCAATGGATGTACTCTTCTGGGAGCTCATAGCAGCCAGTCAGGTTGGCCAAAGGCCATTCCCCAAAGCCACAGTCCTCGCAGGTGAACTCATCCAGAAGGTACTGGTGGGGCTGGCAAGGGATACAGATCCAGCAGCAAACGTCCCCAGGCTGCATACTCTTGGCCTCATTGGGTTGACAGGGGTCGCTGCACTGGGAAGTGGGAACTGCCCCTCCAGCCCAGGGCACCAGACTAGTGTTAAGGACTAAGCCCTGAGCCCAATAGCCCACCTTCCTGTAGACATATTTTCCATGCTCTTGACGGTAGTGGAAGATGTTGTAGCGGCCCAGGCTGTCCCCCAGAGAGGTGAAGCGCACGACGTTCTCTGTGTCAGCAGGTCTAAATGGAGCTGGTTAGAATACAGAATAGAAACAGGCCAAGAAGCAACTTAAGGTTGAGCAACAGAATTTGGTGAAAAGTAGACTTGATATTATTATACTGACATTACCACATACTGCAATAATTCAAATAAGTGCCAGTATTATGTAAATTACTGTTCTTTCATTCTCTTTCATGCAAAATCAGTCATTTTTTCTTGCTTCATCCTTTATTTAACTATTCTCTTTGTGCAATTCATTCATTCTAATCTTATTCAAATTCTAATTCAAAAAGTATACAATTGAAAGGATTTTACTTAATTATAAGCTACAAAAACAGAACATCAACTACTTAATTTCACTCATGCAATATTGTGCAAAAGTGTTTTGTGCACCCTTTCTAGTCAATTTCCAGTCAAAACGGCTTTTAAGTATGAGTTATTCATTCTTCAGTGTTGGAAAACCATAAACACATAAACGTTATCCTACTTTTCACTATCACTACCATCCAAAACCATCAGTGAACGTACACTAAATTTTCATATGCAATAGTAGTAAATCTCAAAAAGTAACTCTGAGTATTATTTTGGCTTACAGCACATTGCATTCACCTCTCTGCCATGAATGGACATCAAATGGTTTAGGTCATTAACTTCTCTCGACACTTTCTTAAAACTGCGACATCAGGATATTTGTAGCAATTTCAGTATAAACAACTTTCTGTCAGGGAGCCTTTAGAGACATAACATTCTTCATACATCTGGTTTCTATCAGCACCAATGTGAACAATTCACATTTCACATCAAACCACTTTGAATGAATACATTTAAGGACGGTTCTATTCATCCAGTTAATGATATTGGCTCTGCAGCTAGACGGAGTGTTCAGAGCAGTATTACTGTCTGGCTTAATAGATATGTAAAGCTGGGTGTCGTCTGGGCAGCTATGAAAATCGATGCTATATTTGTTAATAATTGGATCAAATGGCAGCATAGAGAGAGAGAGAACAGAAGGGGGCCAAGAATGTAACCCTGTGGAACACCATAAGGAATTTCATACTATTAGACACCTGGTCACCAAAAGTAAGAAAGTACATTCTACCAGTTAAACAAAAAGAACGTTTCCTGGCAGTCCAACCCATTTTCATATCTGTCCTGTAGTATGGTGTAGCAGCAGAAAGGTCAAGTAGTACAAGAACTAATATATATTTGTAATTACTGGGCATTTTGACTGGAATGTTAATGATAAAAGATACTCTCTGACTTTGCATTGTACTGTACATACTTTCAAAACGTAGAAAGATTATAATGTAGATTTTCACTCTGGCAAAGCATTCTGGGGAAATAAATTAGTACTCTGTGATCTGCTCTTCAGTAGACAGTTACATGGACAAGCTTGTCCAGGGGAAGGGTGCTAAACCACCAATTTGCCTGTAGTTCGGTTTCCAACCAACTGAATGCAAATAACTACTGTTACAAGCCATTTGTGCAGAATATAGTTTCCATTATAAATGATTAAGTAATTTTACAAGCTAGTCCCATTAGTAATTATATGGAAATTATATTACTATCAGGGAAAATGCAAGCTATCTAGTGATGCTCTGTAAAGCTTCATAACTGAATTTGGACCACAATGATACTGTTTATCACAATAATTCTGCAGACCACAATCGTACGTCCATCGTCCAAGCTTAGTAAAAAGGCAGTGCTGATTTAAAAACGGCTCACTTGTAGTACAGTTTCGTCAGTAGCGCCTACACATTTATCGGCCAGGAGATGCTGCCTTCAGCTGAGTACTGTTTGTGAAGTTCTGAGCACTGGTTGCTAACTCGCATCAGCTGCTGGATGGAAACTGGACAACTTTAATCTGCACTCATTTAAACAGTGTGTAAAACAAGCTCTTTATTAGTGGCCAAAGGCCACAGCTAAATCAATCCAAATCGATTAAAATAACTTCAAAATAAAAAAAAACAGCTGTGGAGCGGATTAATTAGCGTTTCAGGCTTGACTAGAGATGAAACAACATCAGTGTGCTTCTGCACTGAATCTGCTTGCATTATCTCTGATGTATACCCCTGATTTTCCTAAAGTGTTTCCTTTAATGGTGGAAAACACTAACATTTCAAAGACTCATCGTGGATAAATCAGCATCTTTGTTCTTGCAGGCTGTAGCTGAGTCAATCTCCACTGCATGATTGTTATTCTTAACCTAGCAGCAGTTTTTCTCTGAGAGGGACTGTCTGATAACCCGATAATTAAAGTTTCATCTCATCTTTTCTATCAGCAGTGAAAACTGCATACAACAAGATCCATTGATCTGAGTGATGACTGAATGTTGAATGAATCAGCTTTCGCATCTTTATAATGGGAATACTTCACACGTAATGAATGAAAGCCAGTGGGTGCCAATTAGCATTATGCAAATGGGATTGTGTTAACTGGACCCCGGTGGCTTTCAGTTCTCGCTAGCCAAGTTAATATTTTGGGCGACGTATCCTTTTAATGTATAGTACTGCGCACAGACCACCAGAGACCACCCCTCATTTATTTATTTACCTATCAAAATGGCCTCTAAACGCTAATTATTTATTTTTCTACATAGGGAAAGAAGCAGAAAACATATATTTACACAGACGCCTCAACAACTAAACATAATATCGCATTTTTCAGTATTTAGTGTGTTCGCTCTTTACCTTTATTACAGCTTCTGTTCTTTTCAGATGACTTGCTTTCGGTTTTTCAAAGAAATCTGCATTATTCCACATCACCAAAGTTCAGTCTAAAAAGTTGGTTTAGCATTAAAGTAATCCCGAACACATTCAGCGACGCTGAGGACTGGGACTCTGGGGCGGTCAGCCCATTGTTCTGAGAACACCAGCAGCTTCTTTGTTTGCAAAATTTCTTTTTCCATGATTATTAAAAAATGTTATTTACTAAGGATGTGTATGGGTACTTGAGTACTCCTTAACTGTTTGAGGTACGAGGATTAGAATACTGAAATTACTATTCGAGTCTTTGTTACATTCTATCAAAGTAAGATAGAGAAAACGTCTCTGCTAACAATTCAGTGACATGACAGTTTCATGTTTTAACTGGACTGTAAAGTGTAGAAAATTTTGCAATTAAGTCCGTTAATTGTATTTGCAAGTAAGTGCATTATATCACACTTTGCTACTACAAAACATGAGCATGTTGCTAAGGAAGCACGTTGTTAATCAAGGCCAAATAGTGCGGCTTGCTCTGGCATTAGCGCTAACTGGGCTAACTGCTTTAGCTGATGTTAAGTTGGTTCAGAAACACTAAACACACATTTCTCTGACTAACTACCATGTTAGCACATTGTCCACCTGTAAGACGACGAGTCCTTATCAGCATCCAGTGTTGTTGTGGTTAGCTGAATTTTAGCTTATTAGCTCATCTGAAGAAGTAGCTTCTGTTATTCTTTTAACATGAAATCCCTTGGCTGTTTTTTTGAATAGAAATTTTGGTGCAACACCACTGCATATACCAAAAGAGGTAAACCTACAGCTCTACATTCATTTCAGCCAAAGTTTTGGTGGTTGTTCTTTCTTCCATGTGATTTATCAAGTACACATTCATTAACTCTTATGGATCTGTGAATATTAAAATTAGTGGAATTCACATTCCTATTCTTGGCACTTATCTGAAGCAAGTGTGAAGGTTGACTTTCTCCTCTCTCTCAAATATGGAAAGCCTTAAGTGCTGGACAGTTTTGGTCTTGCTTGGTCTACCAGTTCTTCCAGGTGGTTGTTAGGAGTCCCATTTTCTCTATGTTGTAATCATTTTTTGAACTCCAGTTTTGGAGACACCTGTTTTTCACTTACTTAGATTTTCTCCTTCCTTGTGCAAGTGGATTATCTTTCATCTAATCTCCTCAGAAATATCTCCTGAAAATATTAATAACTTGTGCTTAACGGCCATTTTGTCTGGAAATTAAGTAAATAAAGTCTGACATTTGCACTGTATTGTAAATGATTGTCACTAATGTTCCTTACCATCGAACTTGGTCTTGAGGATGAACTCACGGTAGAACCTCTTGCCATTGCCGGGCTTCATGGCATCACATACCCGGGTGGTGTTGGGGCACACTGCCTGCCGCATATTATGCAGCGCGTGGGCTATGGCGTAGACTGCGTTCACGACGAACATGATCTTTGACTCTGGCTTGAATGAACCATCCCTCAGACTGTGGCTGGCACAACCCGGCTCATGCAGACGGCATCCGAACTTGTGCTCCCAGAACTCCCGGAACCAGGGATTCCGGGTGTTCAGCTCGGGTGTGAGTTTGGTGAAGTAGTCCTCAAATTCGCGGATGGAGTAGGACGCTAGCTCGATGGTGAAGGCCCCATTAGCTGCCTTCTCACTCCCGTGCACCACACTTTCCTGCGCCCCCCACCCATCACTGGCCACCCAAATGAAGGTGACGTTCATTCGTGCAGCTGCCACCAGCAGCTCCCTCGCATCCTCACTGCGGGTGAAGAGGATGACCACTTTGGCATTGGCCTTTTGCTGCAGCGAACGGATCACCGTCTCGTAGTTAATCCGGTTCATAGAACGGCTGACTTTGACCGATGTAGCGATGCAGATTTGCCGCACCCTCGCCTCTTGCTGGAAGGCATCGATGCCTGTTTCACCATAGTCACCCTCAGAGGCTACTGTGGACACGTAGGTCCAGTTGAAGTAGCGCAAGATCTCTGCTATGGCTTTGGCCTGGTAGAAGTCCGGTGGCACGGTTCGGGCGAAGTAGTCATAGCGGGATTTATCACTTAGCTTGGCGCTAGTGGAGGCATAGCTGATCTGGGGGATCTGGAAGAGCCGCAGCAGGTTGGCCACCTGGAAAGATCGATGGAAGATAGAAAAAAAGATCAGCTAAGACATGTTTGGTGCATCTTTTGGTTGTTGCTGGAGCTACTAGGCTAATATAGTTGAGAAACACTAGAACCAAATCTTTTCCAACTCCAAAACTTCTCTCACTCAGCTCAAACCACATCCAGGTATTCATAAAGGTCTTGCAGACTTGTACGACACAGTATCACTTACTGTGAGCTATAAAAATGAACAGAACTTCACTGTGTAGATGTCTTCTATGGGCATGGCTGTGGGAAACTGGTCCACCCTGCAAACTGTTTCGCAGTTACAAAACTTGCAAGAGAACATAGAGATACACAGATCAGGCATAACATTATGACCACCTCCTTGTTTCTACGCTCATTGTCCATTTTATCAGCTCCACTTACTATATAGGTGCACTTTGTAGTTCTACAGTTACAGACCATAGTCCATCTGTTTCTCTGAATACTTTGTTAGCCCCCTTTTACCCTGTTCTTCAGTGGTCAGGACCCCCATGACCCCTTACAGAGCAGGTACTATTTGGGTGGTGGATCATTCCCAGCACTGCAGTAACACTGACATGGTGGTGGTGTGTTAGTGTGTGTTGTGCTGGTCTGACTGGAACAGACACAGCAGTGCTGCTGGAGTTTTTAAACACCTCAGTGTCACTGCTGGACTGAGAATAGTCCACCAACCAAAAATATCCAGCCAACTGTGTCCTGTGGGCAGCGTCCTGTGACCACTGATGAAGGACTAGAGGATGACCAACACAAACTGTGCAGCAGCAGATGAGCTATCGTCTCTGACTTTACAACTACAAGGTGGACTGACAAGGTAGCAGTGTCTAATAGAGTGGACAGTGAGTGGACACAGAGTTTAAAAACTCCAGCAGCACTGCTGTGTCTGATCCACTCAGACCAGCACAACACACACTAACACACCACCACCACGTCAGTGTCACTGCAGTACTGAGAATGATCCACCACCCAAATAGAACCTGCTCTGTGAGGGTCCATGGGGGTCCTGACCACTGAAGAACAGGGTAAAAGAGGGCTAACAAAGTATGCAGAGAAACAGATGGACTACAGTCTGTAACTGTAGAACTACAAAGTGCACCTATATAGTAAGTGGAGCTGATAAAATGGACAATGAGCACAGAAACAAGGATCATAATGTTATGCGTGATCGGTGTAGTTACCTAGGTTCTGAGTATCAGGCACTATAAGAGCCAGTGAGAGTCTCCTCCACACCTCCAGTTATCACCACCACATCGACTCGTGAAACAAATCGATTTAGACAGATAAACAAAAGTGCCAATGGCCCTCTGCAAAACTTGTTGACATGCAATCCAGTTTGTGTGACTGTCCATTGCCTGGTCTTGGACACAATTGCCTCTGGGTGCATCTGCTGGGCAGGGAGAGGAGATAGGATACTGATGCTACAAAGCCTCCATCTGTACTCGTTATCTAACTCATCTAAGTCGATCATTTCTACCTGCTCATCCACGGAACTCAGGCAGGTCTAATTCTGATGGTTCGAGATAACGGCTGCAACAAAAAAACAACAGATAAGGAATTGTGTTAGCGGCTTACAGTCATGTTAACCGCAGGGCATGATCCCCTTTTGAAACAGGTTGAATTTCAGTGATCAAATCTACCATCTGTGTTTCGCTATAACGACTGCCTGAAGGTAACGTCTGAAAAAATGTTAATTCCACCAGTTTTTCAAACTTTCAGCATAACTTAGTGAGTGAGATGTAAACAGTCATTCAGAGTGTTTTGATGTGAAGTGATTCATTTTAGAGAAACTTACTGACTCAATAGATTTCCATAGGACTATTTTGCCTCACAGCACTCTGCCATGAATCAATGAATAACTTGGTTTTAGGTCAAACAGCACCATTTCAAGTAATAACATTCTGTGAGATATCTGCTAGAGGCATTTAGACATCAGGGGCCAGATTCATGAAAGTGTGTTAAGAAAGAAGATCTTCTGAAATGTGTTTTTTCTTAACTTCATTCTTAAGAAAAGGTTACGAGAATTTGTTATTCTTCAAATAACTTCTTATTGTCTTTTCTTAACTATTTTCTTAGGAATAATTCTAAGAACAGGTGGTGATCCTGAAAATGTTACGTTCTTAAATGATTTCGTAACCTTATGACAGCCTCATACTCGTCTCAGGCTGTAAGAGTTGACAAGTTGAGCATCTAAATTTATCATAGATGCTGCCTCTGCTGCTCCTGCCCGTCCTCGTCCGTCACCCAATTATCATATTTTCCAATGAGGATTTTTTCCTGTTGGCTGTGTCTTCCACCATCATCTTTATTTCTTATGTGCCCAAAAATTTTAAACGCTTGGTTTGATGTTTTTCATCCATTTTGCTCCTCTGAGCGGATTAAACTACATCACAGAAATAACAGTTAATACAAATTCAAAATGTATCTTGGTACGTGGTAAAATGCAATGTAGCCTAAATAATAAAACAAGATTATCCCAAGAGAATATTTGAGAACTTATTTTTTTTCAAGAATTTAATTGTATTTAAGAATATTGGGCCTCTTTCACAAACTGTTCTTTAGAAGAAATTTCGGTAACACTTTCTATGAATGTCACGTTTGTAAGCATCTATAAACACATTTATAACATTTTATAATGCATTCATACGGCATTATAAACATGATTATAAACATTTATAAAAATGAATTACACTTTATAGCCATGTTTATTATACATTATGAATTGTTAATATAATGCATTATAAATAGTGTTAATAACATGTTATACTGTCAGTGTCAAAGAAGTCAGTCCCAGCTTGGAGAGCGTAAAGTAAAGACAAATACCAAGCTAATGGTGGTGAACATTACCTTTCCCACACTGGGTAAAACACTGATGGCAGCACTAGTTTAAACTCTGACATTTGAAGCCTGTGATGTGCTGTACTTTGTACGTTGAAGTGTTTCAGTAAATTCTTCAGTAAATACTTCAACTTGTAGCCTCACTCTGAACACTGGAGGAGGCTTTAGTACAGTACGCTTCACTTTACTTAGAGCGGACTAATACAACTTATGAGCTCTTATAATTTGTTATTAACAGTACTTATAATGTATTACGTTAACAATTCATAATGCATAATAAGCATGGCTATAATGTGTAATGCATTTTTATAAATATTTATAGCCATGTTTATAATGCCTTAGGAATGCATTATAACATGTTATGAATGTGTTTATAGATGCTTACAAAGGTGACATTCATAGAAAGTGTTACCGAAATTTCTTTCACTTACATAGTTTTCGTGATTGACATTCACCAATGTTTTCTTACTTGGGACTGTTTCCTAGGTACACACTTAAAACCGATGGTTCTTCAAGGGTTCTTTAGTAAAGTAATTAGTTCTATATACAACCATGAACACTCAAAGAACCCTTCGCATGATTAAAGGGTTCTTTGCATCATGAAAGGGTTTATCAAATTGATGGAGAATGTGCTGTACATGGTTCTATAGAGAACCTTTGTGAAAAGGGTTCTATATAGCTACCAAAAGGGTTCTTCTATTATTACAAGCTTGACATTGTAACAATAGAAGAACCCTTTTGAGTGCTATATAGAACCCTTTTCAAAAAGGTTCTCTATAGAACCATACACAACACATTCTCCATCAGTTCCTTTCACGATCCAAAGAACACTTTAATAATGCAAATTGTTCTTTGAGTGTACTTTTTTTGAGTGTAAAAACGATTGTTTTTACTGAAGAACCCTTGAAGAACCATCTTATTTAAGACTGTAAGAACAGAATCTACACACACTCCAGAGCACAAAGGTGTGAACAGTTCTGAGATTTAAGAACACGTCATCAATCTGACGTAGACTTTATCTTGGGATCTTTAACAAGAACATATTTAAGAAAAAAACTTAGGAGGATTTTGGTGAATGAGGCCCATTATTATGAACTGCTTAGTGTTTGTCTTAAGAACCTTTGCAGGTTTTTTCTTAAGAAGGCTTTTGTGAATCCGACCCCTGGTTCCTATCACCACCACTGTGAACAACTCTGACTTGCTAGGTTTCTCTAGAACAGAGCATTTCACACCAAACGACTCTGAATGCAGAAATGTTGAAAAATAATTTGGTCACACTTTATTTGGATGGTCCCCTATAGATGCTCTACAGCTACTTAAATCATTAACAACGTTTCTGGTGGTCCTCAGTTGATTACCAACAATATTATGGTTAGGGTTAGGGTTAGGAGTAGATGCAGGTTTTGTCTTGAGGTTAAGGTTAAGGTTAGATTTAGGGTTAGGAATAGATTTAATACTTCAAGTTCAGTTGAATTTAATGGGTATTTAGTTGAATGTTATTGAAAAGCAGACTGAGCGTTTACAAGACATCTATAGTGAACCATCTAAGTTACATTCAACTTCAAGTTCAGTGGCATTTAATGACTATTCAGTTGAATGTTACTTAACAATATACTGAACATTTACAAAGAATCTACAGTGGACCATCCAAATAAAGTGTTAGCAATAATTTTGTAACTTTCCAGCTACTGTCATTCATGCGGCTATTCCAGAGCACAAAATACAAGCGCCACCACGCTAACCTTCTAAACCCTGCTCTGTTCTGGTTACAGTTTGCTCATGAACGTTTAATTCACCGTGGCTGTAAAAGTGCTGTACATTCAGTTGGATACTTCCTGCGCATTCTTATTTCCCAGAGGTGCCGAGCAATCGCTGGAGGAGCTGTGTGGCGGAATTCTGGGAAGCTGCTAGCTGTGCAATTTGAAGTGACAATTAGGCCCACAGGGAGTGCAGGATAATGACGGAAATCCAGAGTCTGGGGGCTGAACATACTGCATCAGACGCCTCACTGCAGTGTCCATATGTATGAGCGCAATTGTGCTGATTTAGGGTCACTTTTTGCTTTTCATTCTGCAATTATTCAGGCAGGTGGAGCTGACCCTGGGTCAGCATTCTTACAACTGGGGGATGTTCAATCCTTTCAGGCCC